TACTCTACTAATGAAACTGTGGAACTTGTTGGGTACACAGACAGTGATTGGGCTGGAGATGTTGAGACCAGAAAAAGCACATCAGGATATGCCTTCTATCTTGGTTCAGCCATATTTTCTTGGTCTTCAAAGAAGCAGCAGATTGTAGCACTTTCAACCGCAGAAGCAGAATATATTGCAGCAGCAAACTGTGCTACTCAAGCAGTTTGGCTGAGGAGAATTTTGGAGTTCCTACAACACGAGCAGGAAGCACCTACAACTATTTTTTGTGACAACAAGTCAGCAATTTCGTTGTCCAAAAATCCAGTCTTTCATGGTCGCAGCAAACACATTGATATCAAGTATCACAAAATCAGAGAGTTGGTTGTTGAAATACAAATCAACATTGAGTATTGTTCAAGTGAATGTCAAGTTGCAGATATCTTTACGAAGCCGCTGAAGACAGAGACATTTCTCAAATTGAAGAAAGAAATTGGGATGACCAATATATCCAACTTGGTTTAAAGGAGGCAATGTTATAATAATATTAATAATAATAATAATAATAATAGTTATTAAACCAAGTCAAGAGCATTTTGTGGAATGTGGCAATACATGGAGCAGTACATGGAAATGGAATACAGAAGTGGAGCATTATTTTCCTATTTTCTACCTTTATTATTTTACTATAAATAGACTATGTATTCAATCATTTTAATCATCAATTCAATTAGACATTCATTCCTCTCTCTCTCTTCTCAATATATAAATATAATATATAGATATATTATATTTAATATATATTATAGATATATTATATTATATTTAATATATATATATATATATATATATATATATATATATATATATATATATATTATATTATATATATTGTATTTAATATATCTTACAAATCCGAAGTTAACAATCATTAGGAAGGTATATGCTTGCATATTCCAATATGTTCTTCAACATGGGTTTTTCTCTCTCTCTTTTTTTTTTTTAAGTGTTTGATTGACTATTTTTTGGGTTATCAAACAACATTCTTCATCCACGGGAAACACATCAGTCAGTGGTAATGCCTCATCCGAATCTGCAGATGAGGACTTGCCTAGTTTGATTTTATATTGGGATGGGTCAAATCTAAGCAAAGGTCTTCAACTGGAGTCCCACAAAAACATAAATCAGTAATTTTGACTTGGCTATTATTCCCCATCGATTCCAACTGCTGTTTCCGGTAAACAAGAGCTTGTAACTCTTGTAAAGTCTTACCTTTTTTGTCTGCTTTTTGTACATTATTAAATGATTTCTTCCCTTATGAGCTTTTGTCTTAATTGATCTCTTTTATATTTGGATTAGTCAAAATAATGTCATATTTACCATGATAAAGTGTGAAAGAATAGTTCTCTCTGTGCTCATAGCCATAAAGGAAGTGTTGTAAATAACAGAGAGTTGAAATTTGGCATTCCTGATGCTGGACAACAGTAAAGTATATTGTTTGCCCAATGATGCTGATCTCAAGTATAATATTATAATTTATATATCCAAGTTTTGCCATTGCAAATTGCGAGACTTTGTCGATGGTGGACCATCACCGTTCAGCGTTTGAAATAGGAGGTTGAATCCCACCATGCATGGCATGTAGACAGGATTGCAACAAAGGAAATGTCAAGCCTTGGGTCAACACATGTCGTTTTTCCACATTAACATCGCATCACCCTCCCCACACTTTACATTTTGCTTCTACTTTATAATCAACCCTTTATTTTATCATTTCTGGAATTACCATAATGTTTATGATGTACTGTGTTAATTGTTTGATGAATTTAGCAGATACAAACATGTTTATTTTTCATAAGATGACATAGTTTTTCTTTAAAAAAATAAAATAAAATTTTGAGTGTAACCCAGCTATCTATTCTCACATCAATGATTGATCATTAACATTTGTCACACGTTTACTCTTAAACACGTTTAGGGGTATTGGTGCATGCACAGTCGTATACGGGTGCATGCACACATTCGCTAACCTAAGTACACACGGTATTTCGTATATCAGTTTTCATAAGCATCATCGCACAAACCCGTTTACCCAAGTGCACACACAGTTCTATCTAAGTGCACACACAACACAATTCAAGTGCACACCAAAATGTGTAACATCTTTTCATATACAAACTAATTCTGCAAATTATGGCACACATAGTATAACTCAAGTGCACACCCTAATCTATTAACCAAAGTGCACACAGTTCAACCCAAGTGCACACCCTAAGTGCACACCCTAATCTATTAACCAAAGTGCACACAGTTCAACCCAAGTGCACACCAACTTGTTTTACGTCTTTTCATCCTCACACACATTATTTACGTTATGGCACATGCAGTTTAACCCAAGTGCACAACATTGTCTTTAACCTCAATCTGATTTTCGTGAATTCATTATTTTAGAATTTTTGCACATTATGGCTCAGACAACACAAAAAGTGCACACAGTTCAACCCAAGTGCACACCAACTTGTTTTACGTCTTTTCATCCACACACACATTATTTACGTTATGGCACATGCAGTTTAACCCAAGTGCACAACATTGTCTTTAACCTCAATCTGATTTTCGTGAATTCATTATTTTAGAATTTTTGCACATTATGGCTCAGACAACACAATCGAAGTGCACATTATGGCTCACACAGTGTAACCCAAGTGCACACCATAATCTATCAACCCAAGTGCATACCAACTTGTTTCGCACAATATGGCACACACAGTTTAACCCAAGTGCTCACCAAAGTTTATCACATCAATCCAGTTTTCGTGAATTCATTATGTCAGTATTATTGCACATTATGACACACACAGTTTAACCCAAGTGCACACCAACTTGTTTAAAGTATTTTCAAAGACACACTAATTATGCACATTACGGCACACACAGTTTAACCCAAGTGCACATCCTATTCTATCATATTAACTCGATGTCAACCCAACAGGGTAGCTTAAGTGGTAAATGAGCTCTCTTTATGGGGGAGAATTTTGGGATAACCTAGGTTCAATTCTCACAAGTGACGATTCTTTTTGGGCCAGCTTCTATGCCTCTCGGAGCGAACCGGGTGGATATTAACCCGATGTCCGTGAATTCAATCTGTCAGGATAATTGCACATTATGGCATACAAAGTTCAACCTAAGTGCACACTAACATGTTTAACGTCTTTTCATATCAATCCTCCCAAATGCACGGGGCAGTTGATTGCACATTATGACATACAGAGTTCAACCTAAGTGCACACTAACATGTTTAACGTCTTTTCACATCAATCATCCCAAATGCACGGGGCAGTTGATCAAACATAATTTGGTGTCTCATTATTACCACAAACTAGGTAGAGGAAAACATGTGTGAATTTACATAAATTTTAGTTTCGTACATGGATGTTGCCATTAATAATAAGAAAGAAAGAATTTTTTTTTTCTTTTGGACGGAACTTACCGTTAAGATAGAGACGGGAAACGATAAGGGATATTGATTCATAACTCCAAAAGAATTCTTACTTTTTTCGCCACCTAAAATCTGGAAAGAATCACATTATAATATTTCCTTTTATTTGGTTGCCATACAAAATTACATCAATATCCTTTATTGTTATTATTTTTTAATCTGGACATTAAATTGAAATATAATCTTGACCGTTGATTAGGAAAAAATAGTTGGTTTGGATTAGTTCTTAGGTGGAACCTAAGGATGAGTTCTCACTTGAAGCCAACCATATATATAACATTTTGAACCTACACCCATCACGTACTCTATCATTTTCATCTAAATTAATGATGACACAGCTGCTTGTTTTCATCTAAAAGCAAACAAATATGGGTATAACAGCCATACAAATTGCACTATCCAAATCTCCCATTTCGAAAATTTTCAATCTTTAATTTCTTATAATATAATCATATACAGATGCAATGAAGATATAAGGTTTCAAGAAAAAAACTTACAGTTTGGAGTTTTATCTAATCCAAGCACCCTCCTGCTACTCATGGTTGCGTTAGTTTTTTTCGATTGCTTCCGCGTGTTCTTTGCTAGATTTTAGAGAATTAGGGTTAGACATCAATGGTGGAAGAGAGAGAAACTATCTGTAATTAGAGCGTGGAGTATATTTGGGCGTTGGGCGGTGAACGACCCCTCCATTAATAATAATAATAATAATAACAACAACAACAACAATAATAAGTGAACTTCCATTTTACCCTCATTTTTAACAGCCCTAACACTTATTTAACGGAGAGGGGAAGAAATAATTACTTTAAAAACAATTGAGCGAGATAAAGTGATTACATAAACAACATAGGAGAAAAAAATGTCATCTCAATAAATAAACACAAAGAGTTAAAACTTTAGAAGATAACTTAGTTTTGTTTAAACTAAGTACAAATCTTCTTTTTAATAAATCTATATCTATATATTAAAGCATAATGACTCGTTTATTAATTGGAGAATTTCTCAATTTTTTTAAAAAATTAAAGAATTGAAGAATAAAAAATAGAAAACATGTTTAATAGTACCGTTTTTCATTTTGAAAACTGGAAATATTTTCTAGTTTTCAAAAAATTGAAAAACTTTTAAAAATTGTTTTCTAAATGGAAAGCAGAATCATCTATCATTTATTTGGCTATATATCACTATAACTATGTTATCACCATTATTTACTTACATATTTTTCATTATCAACTTCTTTTACTTATCACCATATTCTATATTTTCTACTCACATTTACTTATATATATTAGACAATGTTATTATTATGTATTTAGTTAGTGACGTGGTATATCATTTCTGTAGTAGTGTTCTGTTAGTGATCTAGTCTCTAGCCTATTAGATAGCTCTGTCTCTCTCTCTAAGTGTATTAAGGTTATCACAATTCTGTAACTGAATGAATTATCGCTTCCATTCTCATCTGGTATCAGTTAGCCAGTAGGAATCCCCCGATTGTTTTTTTTATCTCTCTTCCTCTCGTTCGACGATGTCTCAAGGTTCCGAACGCTCACTCACCACCACCACCATCTCCTCCCCAAACACCACCCCCAATTCCCTTCCTAGTGCACACCATTTTGTGTCACTGAAACTCACCCATTGGAACTATCTGTATTGGAGAACGCAAATTATACCATTTTTACGTGGACAGCGACTTCTCGGCTTCATCGACGGCTCGCGGCCATGCCCTGCTTCGTTCATCGAACTCCCTGCCGATAAGCAGTCTGACGCCGCTGCCTCCGCCACACTGAATTCGGCGTACGAAGCATGGATTGAGCAGGATATTTCCATCCTATCCTTGCTCATCTCGTCGATCTCGGAGGAGGTGATGTACCTCACGCTTGGACAGACGACTTCCCGTGCGGTGTGGCTTGCGGCAGAGACAGCGCTCGGTTCTTCTTCGCAGGTTTGCTGCCTCAATCTCATGGGGAAGTTCCAATCACTTCGACAGGGGGATAGCTCGACACCGGAGTATCTCGGGCGTGCACAGCATTTGGTTGAGGACCTAGCGCTCGCCGGGCGGCCGATGACGTTGTCAGAGCAGAACTTATATGTTTTCCGGGGGCTGCGGCCGGAGTTCCGGTCTATGGCAGCCTCCCTGGCGGTCACTGGTACGCCGGTGACGATCCCGCAGCCGGCGGATTATTTACAGGCACAAAAATTCATCAATGCGGATGATTTTCCGGTCTATCAACCAGCAACGGCGAGCGGTGTTCCCTCGGCGTTGTATGCCGGCCGAGGTGGACGGCAACAAGGCAGTGGCGGCCGTGGTTAGTCCTGCGGCGGAGGGGGTCGCGACGGCAACTAGTGAGGAGGTCGCGGCGAACGTGGTCGGAGCGGCGGTCTGCGTTGTCAGATTTGCAGGTCGCAAGGCCATTCCGCGGCTTACTGCTATGGGATGTACTCCGAACCGCCACCTTCCCAGGCGCATGTGGCAGTCACTGGAAACGGAGGTGCGACACCGACAGTGACGTCCTAGCTACCGGACACGGGCGCTTCCACGCACGCTATTCCGGATTCCAGCGTGGTCTCACAGTCCGAGGAGTATCACGGGGACGTTGTCCTCAGAGTCGGTAATGGCACAGGTTTGGCGATCTCGCGTGTGGGTCATGCAGTTATTCCTTCGGTCACTAAACCATTAAAATTATCTGTAAATCGCTTTACAAAAGATAATAATTGCTTTTTTGAATTTCATGCTAGTTTTTTTTGTTGTGAAGGACTCCACCACACAGGCGGTTCTTCTTAAAGGTCCAAGCTCGGGGGGATTGTACTCGTTGTTTGTTCCAAACTCACATAATGCGTGCGTCTCTGCTCGTGCCTCTTCCACGGTCTGGCATCAGCGTCTCGGTCACCCACATGATCAAGCCCTCAAACGTGTCTTACGGGGATGCCCGGTTGAATCTAATAAAAGTGTAATACCCGGTTTATGTTCGTCATGTCAACTTGGGAAATCCTCTCGATTCCCGCTAGATAGGGTAGCTAAATCTAGCGATAATATTTTAGATCTCATTTACACTGATATTTGGGGCCCCGTGCCTGTTCTTTCGGCGGATGGCTCGCGTTATTTTGTAGTCTTCGTAGATGATAACACCCGCTATTGTTGGTATTATCCTCTTACAACTCAAAACCGATATATACAAAATATTTGATGTTTTTCGGGTGACGGTAGAATGAACGTTTTCACATTCTATCAAGTCCATTCAATCTGATTTGGGGGGGGGGGGGGGGGGGGGGGGGAATACCAAAAATTACACAAACTTTTTACCTCCTTAGGGATCGTGCACAGGCAATCATGTGCTATACGCACGTGCAAAATAGGCGTGTTGAGCGCCGGCATCGGCATATTGTCGAGACCGGTCTGGCCATAATGGCCCAAGCGTCTGTCCCACAACGTCATTGGGACCACGCATTCGAAACAACCACGTATCTTATAAACCGCTTACCGTCTTCTTCACTCCAGTTTGATACAGCATACTACCGTTTATATCAGTCACCACCCACGTATACATTTTTACGTGTATTCGGGTGTCTTTGTTTCCCGTACCTACGTCCCTACAACCGTCATAAGATCGAATACCGGTCAAGTCCTTGTGTCTTCTTAGGTTACCCACCGTCTTTTAGGGGTTACCACTGCATGGATCTAAACACCGGGAAAACTTACATCTGTCGCCATGTCCGCTTTGACGAAACTAACTTCCCTTTTGTAGCTAAGAGTTCCATACAGTCTGGGGCACACTCGCCCATACCCAGCTTGCCATAGGGGTCCAGTCCCGTTCTACATAACGGTGACTCGGCTCAGACACCGGCCTCCACCACTGGTCCGGCTACGGCTCCGGCTCAAGCACCTATGGTCAAGAGACGGGGGCGTAAGGCCCAACCTCAGGAACGGGCTCATGTTATGCGGCTTCGGCGCATGACACAGGGAACTGGGGAACAGTTTCATGCCCTCACGGCATCCACCGATGACCCTACTTGCTACTCTCAGGCGGTGGGGCATCCACAATGGCGAGACGTAATGGACCAAGAGTTCAACGTGTTGCTACACAACAACACATAGACGCTTGTACCCGCTACTCCAGGCATGAACATAGTGGGATGCAAATGGGTTTTTCGCACCAAGCGAAATGTCGACGGCACAGTGGAACGCTACAAAGCTCGGCTAGTTGCCAAAGGCTACAATCAAGTAGCAGGCGAGGATTTCTTTGAGACGTTCAGCCCGGTCGTTAAACCGACTACGGTTCGGCTATTACTAGCATTAGCCATTTCCCGTGGGTGGACATTCCGACAGTTGGATGTCCACAATGCCTTTTTAAACGGGCACCTGGTTGAAACCGTCTATATGCGGCAGCCACCTGGATATGAAGACCCTGATCGCCCTGATCACATCTGTCACTTGCAGCGTTCCCTGTATGGGTTGAAGCAGGCACCCTGGGCCTGGTTTAAACGCCTACTTGATTTCTTGATACTCGCAGGGTTTGTTACTTCCAAAACATGTGTCTCTGTTCCACTATTCAACTGCCGATTCCAGGATGTTATTGCTCGTGTATGTGGACGACATTATTATGCTCGGGAGTGATATAGTCTTGGTTGATTCCTTGCTACGGCAACTGGCGACGGCATTCAAGATCCGAGACCTCGGGAAACCCACATTCTTTCTTGGCATGGAAACCATTACTGTTCCGGATGGTATTCTGTCACAACGACATTATATGGGAGATATTCTTCAGCGAGCTGGCATGACCGATTGTAAGTCACTAGTCACACCAGTGTCTGTGACTCAACCTGTGTGTCAGACCGCCGACTCCTTCGCCAATCCAACGCAATACCGCTGTCTAGCCGGGGCTCTTCAATACCTCACCATCACTCGCCCAGATCTGTCCTATTCGGTCAACCGACTCTGCTAGTTTATGCATTCACCTACTGACGAGCACTGGGGCCTACTAAAGAGTGTCCTTCGCTATATTAAGGGTACTCTGGAATACGGTCTTCGCATCACTACGTTAGTGTCCTCTGACATACATGCATATTCCGACTCTGACTGGGCTGGCTGTCCGGTTGACCGCAAGTCCACCAGTGGCTACGCTGTGTTTTTTAGGAAAAATCTTGTCTCCTGGGTCTCTCGGAAACAACGCACAGTAGCTCGCTCTTCGACTGAGGCTGAGTACAAAGGCCTCGCTGATGTTTGTGCTGAGGTCACCTGGGTTGTGTCTTTGTTACGGGACCTTGGCTTAGGCCTTATCACTCCACCCACACTGTGGTGTGATAATCTGGGTGCAACCTACCTTTGTGCGAATCCGGTTTTTCATGCTCACACCAAGCATGTTGGGGTTGACTACCACTTTGTCCGGGACAAAAGTCTCGGCTGGTGAGTTTCAGGATCATTTTGTGTTTACCAAGGATCAACTTGCAAATATCTTCACCAAACCGCTTCCAGCAGCACAGTTCACCGCTCTTCGTGACAAGCTTAATGTGGTTCATTACCTACCTTGTGCTTGAGGGGGGAGTATTAGACTATGTTATTATTATTATGTATTTAGTTATGTACATTCTGTTAGTGATCTAGTCTCTAGCCTATTAGATAGCTCCCTCTCTCTCTAAGTGTATTAAGGTTATCACAATTCTGTAACTGAATGAATTATCGCTTCCATTCTCATCATATAAACAAAACTTATCTTCTTACACTTAAAAGACATTATCACAATTTATAAAACTTTAGATTATTGATTCAAATATTTTTAGTTATGTTATATCGTAATACAATTTTTGTCCAGATATTGGATATTGAAATTTTACATATATTAGATTTCAAAGTAAAAATGATATATATATACATTTTATTCAAATGAAAAAAATATTTAAATATTTGTTCAAAAAATATTAATATTCTATAAACTAAATTTTAGTTAAACTAAATAGGTTATAGGTTCCGATATATTTTTTAGTTATGTTATATATGGATATAAATTTGGTTCGGATATCAAATGTAAAAATCTTATATATATTATATTTAAAAGTAAAAATTATATTTATTACATTTAAACCAAAAATATTAAAAATATTTTAACTATAAGGTCTAAAATCACTCGAAATTACACTTACGTTAATTTTATAACATTCTAAAAAAATAAATTTGAAAAAATGAGTGTTAGTTAAAAAGTTTTCTAAATAGAAAATATAGAATAGAAAACAAAGAATACAAACTGGAAAATTAGAAAACAAAAAATAGTTTCCTAAGTAAAACGGGCCCTAAGTGTTTTTTTTTTTTTTGCATGCTCATCCCAGGGAAAGATTTCAATTTTGAAATTTGAAATCGATTTCCGTTTGCAATTTGTTCTAACTAATTAGAATTTTTAATATTTTAGATTTTTAGATGGAATAAATTTTATTAAGTGATGTCTCATCTCGAAATTGATCAATTTAAAATGAAGAAGAATGTAAATAATAGAACTATAAGCAATAAAATTTTAACAAATTAGTTAAAAACATATCATAGATTTACAAACGTTGAACCCCAAAGTATATTATGAACTTACCAAATATTGACCTATTATTTAAATGATGGTTGAGAGTAGTTTTGACTATACTACATTTAATAGTTGGAGAACATTTAGAAACAAAACTAAGGGTTTTCCAAACATATATTTACTATTTATGATAACAAACAAAAGTTTAAAGTATCACTAAAGTAGATTCTGAAACAAAACTTGAATACCAATGCGAATAAGGATTAGTCTGGATGAAAAAAGCGAGGCAGAACCCAAAATATCAGTGTAAACTAAATCAAGAATATCAGAACTAGCAGACTCAACACTTGGCAAGGGAAAATGCGCAGATTTTCCTAGCTGACACACAGAACATAACGAAGTATCACTAAGAGATTTACTAGACTCACTAACCGAACAGGACTGCAAGACACGACTAAGAACACGCTGATGTGGATGACCAAGACAACTGTGCCAAATCGAAGCAGAGGCTCGTGTTGACAGAAAATGCAGAAGGAAAAAAACAAGATACCGGTAAAGAGTTGAACCCACCAGAATATTGCCCTGAAGTAGCACCGCCTTGGTGGCGATATCCTTCACAGCAAAAAAAAAAAAAAAAGGGTGAAACTCAAAAAACACTTGATTATCAGAAGCAAAATGCTAAACAGAAAGTAAAGATGCTGACAAGCCAGGGACATGCAAAATATTAGACATCCTAAAAGACCTAGATGGGGTATTAAAAGAAACATGACCAACACGACTAATAGATATGCTTATACCATCTCCAACATGTAATGTGTCATTACCAGTGTACTCCTCCAAAGTAGAAAGAATGACTATATCCATAGTTGCATGATTAGTAGCCCCAATATCCGGAAACCATGTATGAGACCCGGAAGACACATCTGAACCAACACCAACCTGAAAAACCAACTGAGTCTGAGGACCCGGAGCACCAGAATAATGACGATAACAATTAACCGCCGTGTGACCATTCTCATCGCAAATCTGACAGCGAGGAATAAAACCTCGCCCATGTTGAGATCTGCCACCTCGCCCACAATTCTGGCCGCCACCTCTCTACCAGCCACCTCGCTACCGACTGCCACTGTGCCGACCCACTTTGTGCTTTAATTGAAAATTTTTGACTTTTGAATGGTTCATGATTGAAGTTTGCATGTGAATAAGATGTGTGTCATTGTTTATATTACCTTGGAAATGTGCCCAAATAAGGTGTGACAATTTGAAGTCTTGAGATGTTTTATTGGATGTTACCTCTTTACACCTTGTGAGCTTGCATAAAACTCAAGTATGTTTATATCTTGTTGTGTGCTTGCATGGATTCTATCCTTCGTCTTGGGACCTCGGTATCTTATATAGAGATAGAATGATCAATGCATTTCATGAACAGAGAAAGGAGGCTTAAATAGCCTAGGCATACAACCGAACCACCACAATCTATGAGTAGTTATTGGACCTATTCTAATCCTACAAAGCAGGAAGAAATAATCCATACAATAGATTAAAACATATGTAAATATATTATGTCTTCTTACGCCCCCGCAAGATGGTGGATCCATCAGAGACACCCAGCTTGGAGCGAAACAATTCGTATGAGCGGCGTGGCAAAGATTTGGTAAGCATATCAGTGACCTGATCTTGTGTGCGAATGTAATGAACACGTAACGCCCCATTGTCAACAAGGTCACGAACAAAGAAAAAATCCAGCGCAAGGTGCTTTATTCAGGAATGATAGACGGGGTTTTTGCACACATAAGTAGCCCCCATGTTGTCACAATATAAGCCCGGTGCAGTAGTCACCCAGATCAAGCAGTAAGTTTCGTAGCCAAACTACTTCGGTCGCCACATTTGCAAGCGCACGATATTCCGCTTCGGTAGAGGACCGCACAACTGCTTTTTGACGAACTGATCGCCAGGAAATAATGTTAGACCCCAAATACACAACATACCCCTTCGTCATTCGTCCTCCGTCATGAATTCCACCCCAGCTAACATCTGAAAAAGCAGTGAGATTCAGACTTGATCCACGACGCAGAAACAGGGCGTGACACACAGTGCCCTTGAGATAACGTAGCACACATTTCACCCCTTGCCAATGCAACAAAGTTAGGGCATTCAGAAATTGCGATAGACGATTAACAATGAAGCTAACGTCAGGCCTAGTGATGGACAGATATTGCAGGAGCCCAACAGCACGCCGGTACAAGGTGTTATCCGCTAAACCCGAGCCATCATCACCATGTAGCTCTGTGGCAGACCCAGGCGTGGAAATGGACTTTGCATCCTGCATGTGAAATTCTGTGAGAATATTCGTTATATACTGTGCTTGAGAGAGAAAAATACCCGCGGGAGTGGGAACTAGCTCAACCCCAAGAAAGTGACGCAAAGGGCCGAGATCCTTGAGAGAAAACAGGGCTGCCAAGGACTTAACAAATTGACCCAAGAAGGCGGGAGAACTTCCTGTTAGGATTATATCATCCAAGTACACCATAAAATATGCCATAATATCACCATATTGATAGATAAAGAGAGAATAATCTGCCCTCGATTTCCTGAATCCAAAAGAAATTAAGAACGACGATAATGCCATATACCAGGCACGGGGAGCCTGTTTAAGACCGTAAATAGCCTTCTTCAAACGACACACATGTTTCGGTCGCAATGGATCACAGAACCCTGGGGGCTGTCTCATATAAACCTGTTCCATAAGCGTTCTATGCAAAAACGCATTATTCACATCCAGTTGCCGTAATGGCCAATTACGAGCTAACGCAATAGATAACACAATCCTTATTGTTGCAGGTTTAGCAACGGGACTAAAAGTGTCAAAATAGTCCTTGCCATGTTCCTGTAAATACCCCTTCACCACTAATCTAGCTTTATACCGATCAATAGATCCATCCTGTTTACGTTTAATACGGAACACCCATTTTCACCCGATTGGAGGTTCCGACCCAGAGGGAACAAGCTCCCACGTATCATTCTTAAGTAACGCCTAGAATTCTTCGGTCATCGCATTGCGCCAATAAGGTGACTTTTGCGCTTGACTCACAGTAGTTGGCTCCAACAGAGGAGGTAAGGCATGTGCTGAAGTCAAATTAACAAATTTTGAATTATAATACTTAGGATTGGGTTGTCGAAGCTGTTGCAAACATCTGGGGATTGTGTGCTCGCATGGATTCTATCCTTCGTCTTGGACCTCGGTATCTTGTACAGAGATCGAATGATCAATGCATTTCATGAACAGAGAAAGGGGGCTTAAATAGCCTAGGCATACAACCGAACCACCACAATCTATGAGTAGTTATTGGACCTATTCTAATCCTACAAAGTAGGAAGAAATAATCCATACAATAGATTAAAACATACGTAAATATATTATGTCTTCTTATCTTGAATACTTCGAAGTGGGAGTGTGTGCAAGTGGGGGCCGTAGAAAAGATAAATTTGGCAAGACCCGTGATACTGCTAATTACTACGTAAGCAATAATTAAACAAACACGAGACCAAATAAAGCAAGTAAATATCTTTATTGATCACGGTGAAGGCCCTAAGTACAATCTACTTGGTTGCTCTGAGTACCGACTGACTGCGGTCGGGATGCTCTAACAACAACCTATCGATCGTCCAAAAGTCCCTCACACTGTAGCTACTGTGGGTATTTATAGCCGCTGCGCCGGAGACACAAATCCGGTCGTTCGGCATGCTCTCCACGTAGCCACCACGTGTCATCCTCCCGGGCGCCTTGTCTGTCGTCGTAAGGAACCGCCACGTGTCCTTTGTCAGCTCTCTCGCCAAAGGGCTACCGCTCGGTGGTCGACACTGCCGCTCGGGTAACTCCCGGTCGGACCCCGACCAGGTTCTTCATAAGAATCCCGACCTGTTACCTGCAAAGACAAGAAGAAAAAGACAAAGGCAGACCAGCCGGGGTAAAGTAATGTCGGTCGGGATATTCCCTACCAAGAGCCCCCCAGCCCGGGCCTTTTTGACCGTCTGGGAAAAAACGGGACGGGATGAAGAAGCCCAACCGTCAGCCATCAAACCGACCAGCCAGCTGTCATTCCTTCCCTCGCCACGTGTCGGCCACTGCCGGCCTCTGCGACTGCAACAGTCGCATCGGAATCAGCGCGGGTCGTGTCACGCAAGTGGACTCGTTTCCCGCCTAAATGCTCTCCTATAAATAGGCCCTTGAGGCCCTCATTTGAACTTTCTCCAATCTATTGCTTCGATCGGTACCCTCAGAGAGTCCCAGCAGAGCACTTTAGTGAGGCAATTGAGCAAAAGACTTCAAGACTCTCCTCGCAAAGCACCTTCAATCGGTAAGTTCTCAGCCCCCTCTCTTACTTAGCATTTACATTCATACGTAGAACTGGTAGGTCGCAACTAACTGTCCCGGACGTCTCGAGTCCTTTACTAACCCGACCGACCTTTAGGTAGATCGAAATGACGGACTCCGACAGCCAAAACGCCTCGATCGCGGACTATGACGAGGAAATCGAGCATCTTAGCGACGAAGAAGTGGACATCATGTCCTACTCTCCCGAGGTCGTTCACCGACCGGTACAAGCCCCCGAGCGAAGAGAAGCATCAAGCTCCTCTGAGTCATCGAGCTCCAGCTCAAGCGGGTCGGGGAGTTCCAGCGAAGGAGAAGAAGGAACCTCGACAGGCAGACAAGATTCCCCGACCGAGGGCGTTAGGGAAACGACAACCCGGGTGATTGGGGATCACCCGGAAGCCATTCCTCGAGGAGACGACCGGGAAAACACTCCCGAGCCGGCAGAGGAAGATACAACCGGACCGACCGCACCAGCCGCTGAGGAGTTCGAATTCTTGAATAGCGAGAATGTCGAACAGCAAATGAGCCGATTGACCAAAGGTGAAGCGGCCAGGATCGCCGAGAGGCTCAGGGGTCGGGTAGAGTTCGACACGAGCCGGAGGCTCGGGAATGTCATCGATCGGCATCGGGGCAAATGGATCGGGATGCACTACGACTCCCTGATGGCCCCGATTGCTATTCCCTTCCCCCCTCTCCTGACAGCCTTCTTGGGGTACTACCGGGTCGTTCCGACCCAGATCTGCCCCAACTCGCATAGGATCATCGCTTGCTTCCCTCAAATCTGCGCCCGACACGAGGCAGCTTGCACGATGGAGTTATTCAACTTCATCTATCAAGTAAAGGTTCTCCCGGGCAGCTATGGAGACGGCTTTCTGATGTTGCAGTCCTGAGCAGACATGTGCGCGATCAAAGGGCTGCTCGGGAACAACAAAGGATGGAAGAACCGGATCTTCTCCATCAAGTACGATCCCTGGATCCTACCGGTCGACCGTGCCTGGAGCACTCACTACCGGAAACAAGTTGTGCCGGTCGAGACGCAATTGCTCAAGGATACCGTCGCTCGGATCTCGAGCGAGCTGCACGAGTATACGATTTTCCGGACAGCCGAGAACCTCGAGGCGGCTAGGCTCCTGCCCCCCGTGTACGACCTGCCGGAGAAATATTTGCCCGTGCCGATGGGCGTGACGGTCGCCAAGCCGTCCAAACGGAAGAAGAAAGGTCTAACACCAACTAACTTCTCCCGATCATAACTCCCTGAGCACTGCTTTATCTTCCCGACTTAACTAACTTTCTTCTTTGTTTGCAGCAATGGCGGAGTTCGGAGATGACGACGCTCCTCTTCCCCCGCCCGCCAAGATCTCCCTTGGCGGAAAGAAGAAGCCGAAGGCGAAACCAACTGGGCAGACGGAGATCCCTACGGCCGACCCATAAGTGCCTCGACCATCACGACGGCCGAGGGCTTCGTCGTCGAGCCGACCGACGTCCTGGTTACCCGGGTGGAAGTCGCCCGGGGCAAGGAGAAAGTGCCCGACCAGGGCGTGACCAAAGTGGGCGGGATCAAGCGCCACCGAGAACAACGCAGCCCGAGCCCCTCAACCGGGCGAAACAAGGACGAGCCGTCCATACTGGCCCGTATTGGCAATGCCGGGCCAGTCAGAGAGGATCTGGGGAAGATGACCCCGACTCAAGTGGCCGAGAGGATCGGTCACGACCTGGCTGAGGTAAGCATCTTGTTCTTTTAAATTTTTATGCAAGTAACTCCGACCGGGCTGACTGAACCCCTTTTTAATTGCAGATCTCCCGAGCGGCCCAGCTTCTGCAAGGTCGGGCCATGCTGGCCGAGAAACCGACCGCCACAAGAAGACGGCTGCTCGACGCCTTCAGGAGGTCAAGGACATCCAGGCCGAGCTGGAGAAGGTCCAGAAGGACCTGAAAATGAGCGAGGAGGACCGGGTCTTGGCCGAGAAGGTCGCCCAACGGGCGATCGGGGATGCCAAGGAGCTAAAAGCCCGACTCGATAACCCGAACGAGTTGGTCCAATCTGTCTTCAAGGACAGCGAGTCGGGCACGGCATTCCTTACGGCGGCCCGAGGAACGAAGGTCGGGGAAGATCTAATCCTTTCATTCGGTCGGTGGGCCTTTAAGGCCGGGCAGAGGAAGATGCTTGAGCGGGCCCGGAATCGGATGGAGCAGGCCCTTGAAGGGGACGACCTCCAGTTGGTCCTTTCTGCGCTCCCTCCGGACCTGGCCGACCCCGGTCCCTCTCCCTTCGCCCCAAAAGACAAAGCGGCCGAGCCTAGCGGATCCACAGCGGCCACCTCAAGCGGGAGAGAGCCCTCTGAGAAGGGCGGAGCCCGGGAAGCGAAGAAGTAGAAACAGGACTTCTTCTTTTTGTAAAGGAACGCTGATCGGGAGCCCAGTCCCGAGATTGTACCGGGCATTCTCTTTTTAATTAATAAAATTTGCTTTTTGTCCCACTTGTATCATTCGTCTCTTTTCCTCGCACCTTTATTTTTAATCATGCGTGTGCCGACCCTTAATACTTGACCTCTTGGCCTTCTGGCCCGGTCATGCACTAGTCGACCGGTTCGACACCCGACCTTATGGCCTTATGGCCTGGTCGTGCATCCGAAATTTCGACGTCAAACTGGCCTACCCGAACGGGTTTACCTGATCTCCAGGCCTTGTCAAAATTTTGAAAATGGGTAAGCCTCCACGGTCGGGTTTTTCCCGAGCGACGGGCCTATAGATACTTCCTTCATCCCACCCCCCACACTATTGTACCTTCGAGGCACGAGTGGGTGCAATAGTGGAAAGAAGTTGGACGGATCGGGGAATTGTGCTGAGAGCTCCTGGCTTTCCCGATCGGTTGCGTGACCCAAATGTCCGCCGAAGAGAAGCGCATTTGACCGGTCGATAGACTCGCCCGGTCGATGTAACTTGACGATGGATTAACCTGCATATAATGAAGGTAACAAGAAATAACCGACCGGGCCGCCGTATGCAAACGGTCGAGCAATCACCGATCGTATATACATTAAACCTTCCCGCTCGCAGGCGGTTGAATAAATATTTAGAACAATAATTTTAATTACAAATGACGACTGGGACTAACTCGCAGGTCAAGTCCCCACTTCGTCCAAAGGTTACAAAAAATAGGCTAGTGCCTAAACATAACGAGGTGCTCGGAATTCCAAGTCCCCTCGATTACCCGACCGGTTGTTGTCTCCAGTCGATATGTCCCCGGCCGTATGATAGCGCTGATGATGTACGGCCCTTCCCAATTTTGAGCTAGCTTCCCTCCTTCCAAAGGTTGACTGGCCTCCCTTCGTCGTAGAACGTAGTCTCCCACCTGAAAATAACGAGGGTTA